CACCCTACCTCTCGTAGACACTCATTGACAGTGTTTACATGGGACCTACCACATGCCAGCCTCTGATCTGGGTGTTGGCACTTTGGGTAGTCCCACAGAGTTTTGATTTTAGAGTAGGAACTAGACACTAAGTGAGCAATTTAACAGACATTTTTGACATATAACGTCTGTAACATAAGGTCAGTGTTAAGGGCTGTGCAGAAGAATAAAGTGGAATAGGAGACCAAGAGGGACTGGGTTGGGGAGCAGCTAGCGGTAAGGGGGATCCTTCTGGAAGGACGATTGTGAGGTAGGTCTTAAGTTGGAACATCAGACAAGGTTTCCCTGGATAAACCCTTCTGGAGTACCCAGGTACTCTTGGGTACCTGAGGAGGGCTGCTTAGCTGAGGCTTGACTGGGGCAGAAGGAGCAACCCAAGAGAGCCGCTTGTTCCTCAGCCCCTAAGAGAGAAGAAAGAAACCCAATATTTATTATTCCCGGCCGCGGTCTGGCAGGCTGTCAGCACCGTTCTCATTTAACGCTGACAACTCCCTATGAGATATAAAGTAGTATCTCCACCTCCCACAGAATAGAGGAGGCTCAGCGATAGGCAGCTGGCCAGTGGTGCCTTCTCCTTCATGTCGCTCCCTCCCCTCCCAAAGGATGCTGGCCCCACATCGCTTTCCAAAACGCCCTTGGGGAACCGGGGAGATGACCAGCGTCAGAGGAATCACTGCCACAGGACAAAGCCCTCACGTCGCCACAGGTGGCACCTGTGATCCCGGGGTGCAGGTGGGCCAGGCTGGCAAGGACTCGGTGACATCACTCTGCCGTCTGCAGCCTCGCATATCTCGACACAAAGCTGAGGCAGCCGCAGGGCTCCCGCCAGGCGGTGCCTACTAGACCTCACACCACCCCGGCCCGCCCGCGTCCTGCATCTGGGGCCCGCCCGGCCTCCCGAGGGAGCCACCTGGGTGGGGAGGTGAGGGAGCCCCAAGCCACGCACACCTTATCTTCTGCTAAGCTCGGGGATTGCCAAGTAGATTAAGGACATTCGCTCACGAGAGGACGCCTACTTAACGTGGGTCCCCAAAGACCGGGCTGGTCACCCACAAAATCTCAGGCTCCGGGTCCCCCCCACCCCCTCCCACCCCCGGGTGCCAGTGCAGGTGCAGGTGGGGGTGCAGAGCTCCCTTCCTCGCCCGCCGATTTCCTGCCTTGCTATCAGCACGGCCGCCAGGGGGCGCGCCAGGGCCCGACGACGGCGGGGCAGGCAGGCTCCGGGCCTCTGTTGTTCCCTTGACGTTTGCGGCTCACCTCTGTGCGTGCGCGATGCCGGCTTCTCGTAGGTTCCAGGACGCTACCTCTATGCTGGGCAGTGCAGAGAAACCTTGCGCGGTGAATTCCGAAGCCCACCCCCACGCGACGGCCTGCCTCCAGGCTGTGCTCTTGGGTTGTCCGGCCTTCCAGTGGCCTCCGGGAGCTCGCTCAGAGCTCTTAGGAGAAGTTAAAAGCCACCCCCCTCCCCCGTGAGCGACCGCGGAGCCCCCATGCGCCGCCTCGTGCGGCTCCCCGCGTCCTCTTAGGCCTGTGGACCTGGGCACCTGCTGCTTCCCTCCACCCCACCCCACCCCACCCCACCCCACCCCACCCTGCAGCATTCCCCTCTCTCTCCATCCTCCCCAGGCTGGTCTGGGCGCCAGCTTTCTGGGCCCCGAGCAGCATTCGGGCACGTTCCAAGCAAAAAATGAATAGCACTGCGCTGGATCGGAGATTTCCTCCTCCCTCCCGGCGACAGACGGGTAGCCCCCTGCGGGCGGCGGGGGCCCGGGCGCCTCGGCTTTGTCTAGGCGGCGCCCGGCAGGGGGCACGGCGAGCGGCGCTGAATACACAGCTGCCGACTGCGCGCTCCGGGGGGGCGCACATCAAAAGGAACCTCGGGCCGGCGAGAGAGGCGGGGGTGGCACAGGGCCGGGCGGGCGCTCGGCAGCACCGAGGGCCCCGACGGGCACACACCCCTGCCAGTCCCTCCTTTACTTCCCAGTGCTTCCCACGTGCCAGCCCCCGGCCCCCAGGCCCCCGGCCCTCCCCGCCGTCTTTGCCCTCTTTCTAGAGGCCACCCTCCACCGCACCGACGCCGCCAACCTCTCCCACCCGGGCTGGCTTTGGAGTGAATTTAACCCTTTCCCCATCGACCGCAACCCACCCTATGGTTCGGGGTGCCTATTAGACGGAGGGTGTTTCCGTTCGGGACACGTGGCGCGGGGGCGCCCTCCCCCTCCCGGGTAGGGACCGTGTCTGTGTTCCACCGGCAGCGCTGGGCGGGCGGGAGGAAGGAAATTAAGCCTGTGTTGAAGGAAGGACACCTGGCAGGGGAGGGGAAAGGGCTCAGGAATCCCCTCCTCTGGGGAGCTTTCAAGTGGGGGAAAATCCCCACGAGCTTCCATCCTCCAGGGCCCTTGCAGGGCCACTAGCCGGTTCCCACACCTCCTGCCAGTCCCTCCTTTACTTCCCCAGGCTGTGCGGCCAGGCCAGCAAGAGTCCGGAGTCTCCCCTCCACCCACTGCTTTCCCTGCCTCTCTTCCCTTCCCTGCCTCAAGCTCCTGACCTGGGTCTCCTCCGGGTGTTCCCAGGCTCTCTGGAGAAGGCATTGGACACAAGTGGCCCTTCAGAGAATGACCAGTCTTGCCTAAGCTGCCCAGGGTGACTGGCTGGGCATGTCTCAGCCAACCGTCAGCCCACCTACAGCCTCAGGGATCTTTGGCCCCCACCTCCCAGGGCTGGCCCCTATGGACTCTTAGGGCCCAGAAATGACCCCAAGAGGTCATCTAGTCCAGCTCCTGCCTCACTGAATCCACAATGGTGTCTTGGTGGCCAGGGCGGGTAGCCCTGCTCAGCTCTCAGAATGACAGGTACGGGCTCTGGAGCTTCCCAAACTACCAGGCAGAGGGGAGAACCGGCAGGCACCTCTGATCAGAAAACCAGTGGAGCCTCCCCGTTGGGCAGGACGGAACACAGGGGAAGGCCAAGCAGGCCACGAAGGGGATGTGGAGGGCTCTCTATCCCTAGAGCTGGGACCCTGGGGCCCCACGGGCAGTGAATAATGGCAAACCCCCTGTGACCCTCTTTCCAGGTGAATCAGAAACAAGACATCCCAGAATTAGCCCAGCACAGGGGCACCTCTAAAGGATCCCCATCCCTGCAGCCGTCATCCCAGTCGCTGTTCTGGGGCAGGTTGGGGCTTTCTCTCCATCTTACTCCTCCTGCCCCTCTCAGCCTCCCTCCTTCTTCCTCTTCCCTCCTCCAGCTCCCCCTGCTCAACTCCCGTCCTGCCCTCTACTCTCTGTACTGGTGTCTCTCAGTTTTTCTCTCTCTCCTTTCTGCACTCAGTTTCTCCCTGTTCCCCCTATCCCTCCTCTCTTTCATCTCTCCCCCCACCCCACCCCTCCAGCCAAGCACCCGGCTAGGAACGCGGCAGGAGCCACGACAAGTCCAGGCGCCTCTCCCGACCCTTGGCGCCCCGGGGCCAGTTCCCCGAGCTCCCCGTGCCCGCAGCAGCCGTGTAGGGAGAGGGCTCTCAGGATGGGCAGGGGCAGCAGGTTCGAGCCGTGGGCACGGGTGGCCCAGATCAAAGGCCAGGAATGTCTGGCTCCTGGCCTGGACTTCCTCCAGCCGTGCCCCCCACCTGGTGGAGAGAGGGCCCACCATTCCAGGTGCTCTACAGGACTCAGGGGCGGCTCTTTTGCTGCCCTTTCTGCCCTTGCCTCCCATCACTGGCCTTGCTTTCTTCACTCCAGGCCCAGGTCTGCCCCAGGGTCCCCAGTGCCTCTGGGGCTGTAGGTGGCCTGGGAGCGGGGTTTGGGAAGCAGGTCGCCCAGGTGACAGGGGCAAGTCCCCCAAGAGTGGCCTCCGTCTCAGCACCTCCATCTCACTCAGGGCTGAGACCTAATTGTTGGACTCTGGAGACGGAGAGGACAGAAAGACCCCAGGGGGGCCGTGGTGGGACTTGTTCCTCCGGTGGGGGGTGGGGGTGTTGGATACATTTGGCTTCCACACAGGGAAAGGGCCCGTTATCACCGAACACCAGGTGGGAGCTCAGGCAGAGAGTTGGGGGGAGGGTGTCCTGGAGGGCAGCAGGGTCTTCCAGGACCCCAGCTGCTCCCTGCTAGGGCTGCTGCGTTTCACTGGCCCCAAACGGTTCATCCAGAAGATCCAAACGGGGCTGCGGGCAGTGCTTGTGACCCGCGCCGGACGCCGGGCCTGAACCCCTCGAGGAGGAGAAAGTGACCTGGCACCGCGAGCAGGAAATGCAACTGGCCGCCGGTGTCAGTTGCAGGAAATGCAAAGGCAGCAGGAGGTCCCGATACCGATCTGATCCCTGACAAAAGACTCAAATGACACTCAGCTCCGTCCCCCGGCGCCGCCCGCAGCCAGACCTTCGAGCCTCCGCGGACCCTTCCGCGCGCCTCCCGGACACCCGGGAAGCGACCTCCTGCGGCCGGGGTCGAGTGCCGGCGGGCTCGCGGGCTCCGGAGGCTGGAGGCTGGGAGGGGTTGTATTTCCCAACCCCCTCCGAGCCCCTCGGATCCTGTCCTGCCCCAGCGAGGCTTCTGGAAACATCCGTGTGCTTTCCCCTCTCGATTCCTCACGCACCCAAGTCCAAAGGGGTCACGGTCCCCCGAGGGAACAGGAGCCACCCATCAATGCCCACGCCAACCCGGCACCACGTGAACGCCCCCGTCCAAGCCCCGGCGTCTTGAACCTGGCGGGGGCGGGGGCGGGGGGCGGGGGTCGCCGCGGCGGTCCCGGGCCAGCCGAGGGGCCGACGTGCCGCCCCTCCCCCCCCCAAGTTCCCCCTGGGTCCGGGGCGCGGGCTTTGCCCAAGTTTGCTGGGCGATGCCCTTCCGCGAGCCCGACTCGTGGGCCGGGCGGGAGGGGCGCGTGATTGACAGGCTGAACTACAGACTCATCTCTTACCTTAGGCCGCGGGCGCTGATTGGCTGCTCGCTGACATCCTCAAACCCGGCTGCTCCGCGCTGGGCTCGGGAGGGGGGCGGCTGCGGGTGGAGGTGCGCTTCTGACAAGCCCGAAAGTCATTTCCAATCTCAAGTGGACTTTGTTCCAACTATTGGGGGCGTCGCTCCCCCTCTTCATGGTCGCGGGCAAACTTCCTCCTCGGCGCCGCTTCTAATGGAGCCCCACCTGCTCGGGCTGCTCCTCGGCCTCCTGCTCTGTGGCACCAGGGTCCTCGCCGGCTACCCAATTTGGTGGTAAGACTCGCCTCTTGTCCGCCCGCGGCCCGATTTCTCCGCCGGGTCCCGGGGAGGTGGGGGGCGCCGGCCGCGGGTGGGCCGCGGCTCCTTTCTCCTTGCCTCCCTCCAGCCCCCCACTCGCCCACCCCTCCTGGATTTTCTGCTGGTGTCGCCTTCAGAATCCAACTCCTGGCTTTTCTGATAATCACCATTTTCCCTGCTACTCGCTGCAGAGGCTGGAGGACTTTCCCCGGCGCAGAAGGTCTCTGATTCTTAAAATCCTAACCCTCCACCCGTCCCAATCTGGGGGCCCCGAAGACCCTCCATTTGCCTGCAGTTGGGTTTCTGGAAATCCAGCGCTGTCCCTGGGGCCCAGCCACTCCTCTTCTCCATTTTGGGGTCTTCATGGGCAAAATCATCCTGTTCCTTCATTGCCACCCCCATCTCCGCCGGCGCCTCCACCAAGAGATTTCCCCACAATAACCCCCTTTTGCCTTCATATTTCAGACCCCGATGGCTTCAGGGATCCCTGGGGCAGGGGAGCGGGCGGGGGGTGGATTTCATCAGATTTTCCCCACTCTGCTCTAGATTAATCTTGAGCCTCAGAAGTGAATATGGTATTTGCTGATCCGAGATGCCATTGAATTCGGATTTTATTCATTTCTTGTTTGTCCATTTTGGCAAAAGGGGGGTTCTCTGAAAATGTAGTTGTTTGGGAGGGGGGTGGGTTTGTTCTTTGACCAAAAACCCAATTCTCCATGTCAAATTCGTTCCTTTTGGAAAACCGAGGACGGAGGAGAAAGGGAGAGAGGGAAGAGGAGAATTCCGTCCCCGAGAAATGCGGATACAAAAGACATTTTTAGTAAATAAGGCTGGGAAACCAGGCGCGGTGTGTGTGGGGGGGTGTGCGTGTATGGGGGGACCGACCAACGAATAAACAGCCCTTCGGGAGCCCCAGCTCCACGGAGTCCCCTTGTTTTCCGAGCAGCCCCACCGGCAGGTCCCAGAGGCCAGAGGGGAAAGACACTGAAACCAGTTCTCTAAATTATACCCCGCCTGCCCTCCGTCTCCAGCCCCCTGCATTCCGGAAAACTTTAATTAAAGAATCTTACCCTCCTGGACCTAGGAGAGCCTCGGCCTGGGGGGTGGGAGGTGAGGAGGAAGAATTTGGGATCCATGAGTGAGAAGAGGGCCTGTGGCCCCTGAGGTGAAAGTCAGAAAGGAATGCCACCAGGGCGCAGTGCCACCTGCGTGTCCCCCTTTCCTTGAGCTGCCACCCCCTCCCCAGCCCAGGGTAGGGGGAGCCGAGCCAGCATGATTCCGGGGCCACACCCTGAGTCTGCCTCCAGTTGTTTGGGGGTAGCAGCATTTGGGGGCCGGGATGGGGGTAGGAACAGGGCATGGCCAAGGGTCTGTGCGTAGAGGGTGCTGAGAGTTGCTACCAGGACATACACCCAAGGGAAAGTCTTTCTTCTGCCCAGCCCATCCTTCCCGCGGCTTTGGGCTGGCCCTGGGGCCTCCGATACATAAAGCAGTCCAAGGGGTGGCTGGGGCAGCCGGGGATTCCAGATTGGGGGCTGTGCCTGTTGGGGGAAAGACCGCTGCCTAAACCAGTCCTGCCATCCCTGCCCTTAATGACCTTCTTTCTATCCCTGGGCCAAGGCCATGCTGTTCTTTGCCTTCCTGGGGACCCGTAGGGGGAGGGTATGGAGAGAAGGCTTGGAGCCCCACTGGCTGCAGGGTTGAGGAAGAGGCCAGGTGCCCTACCCTATTAACTGGAGGAGGGCACTTCCTGGGGCAGGGTTGTGGGGGGACTATCTAGATAGGAAGATGCTGGAAAAACCTGGAAAGCCAGGACATCTCCTCTAACGTAATGCTGGACACATGGCTTGTTTGGGGGCTGGCGGGGGTTGGAGGGAGACAGGGATGCGGCTTTGTCTGAGCAGAGAGAGGGCTGTGTGTGTGTGTGTGTGTGTGTGTGTGTGTCTAGGGTGTTCTAGGTCTATGATCATAAGAAGTGTCAACTGTATACCAGTATGTCTCCGAGTATGGAAGAGTCTGTGCCTGTACCTGGGCCACCATGGATGTGAACTCATGTGAGCTGGGGGATCCATGGCTGTGACCGGGTGTGCTGTGTCTCTCTATACACAAGTGTCAGCAAGTGACTGATTCCAGGATGTGTGTGTATGTGTGTGTTGAGACAGAGAAAGTCTAGAAGTGTCTATGCCCACGTACAGGTCAGCCCCTGTGTCTGCTTGTGACACTATGCATGACTATGTTCATGACTGGGCATGTGAGTGTTGTGTGTGCGTGTGCATGTGTGCGTGCGTGTGTGCGCATGCCTTCATGACAGTGTAAGGGGAAAGCCCCACAGCTGTCTTTGTGCATGTATATCACTGCTCATGGCCATGACCTGATTGTGCTTGTAAGTATGAGTGCGAGGCTGTGTCTGGGTCCGCCTGTGACCCCGTCCTCAACAGCCAGTGACTGGCTGGGCCCAGGATTATGGATAGGTTTGCAGACCTACGACTTACCGGTGTGGGTGACATCCCAAGCTTGGGTGCGTGGTGGGTGTCCGTGGTCCTGGAGGGGCAGTCCAGCAGGAGACAGAGGTCTAACAGGGAAGCTGCAGAGGGCACGGCTGACCTCGGGTCCCAGGCTGGGCAGTGTCGGGGCAGGGTACAGAGCCTTTCTTGGCACGAGCTCATCCTGTCTGCCTAAGGACTGCAGTGAGCAGCCCTCCCCTCTTCAGCCATTTGTCTTTGGTCTTGGAACTGGGGTGGAGGGTAAGTCCCCTTCCTAGAGCTGGGGCTGGGCCTGGGACAGGGACCGTAGAGTGGATGGGTCTCAGATTCCTGTTCCCACTCTGCCTCCAGGGCAGTCAGTCGGAATCCAGTTCTTTCAGCGTCTGAGTCCAGCACAGCCTGCCCTCCTCAGCCCACCCAGCTCACACATTCCCCAGGAGGGATTTACAGGGGAAATCCTTTAGCTGAGATTTCTGTCCACGCTACCCCTCGAGAAAGGCACCTCGAACCCCCAGTAGCCTGTGCTCCTCAGGCCCCAGTCCTGAGAAAAGGCAGATCAGAAGGTAGAGCCATAAGGGCCTCAGACAGAGACTCATGGAAGGAAGAGATGTGCTCCAGGGCTTCCTAGCCAGGTAGTGGTGGAGCTGGGACAGGAAGCTGTGACAGCAGCACTGATTTCTATAATTCTTCTTGTCAGCCCCAGTTAGCGCCTGCTGGAGGAACTTGTCTTTCTTCTCCTTCTTGGGGGAAAAATGAACTCCCCTATGAGGGCCCATCCTAGGGCCTGCTACATTCCAGAGACAGAGGCCCTGATGGAAGGGGCCTATGCTGGGGGTCGGGAGCCCACCTGCCTCTGGGTGACCCACCCACCTGGGGCTCTGTTTCCTCTTATGCTCAAGCTCCACCAGGCAGTCCTGCCTCACAGCTTGGGTGAAAGTGTTCTGCAGAAGTCAAGGGCAGTGAGCTGGAAAATAAGACACCTGAGTTCTCTTTCCACCATCCTGGGACCCGTTCCCTCACTCGAGGGGCTGCCCCAAGCCCTGCCTCAGTTTCCCTATCTGTCAGTTGTCGTGCTGCCTCCCCCACCCGCTCCCACCTCCACCCGCCTTTCAGAGGCTTGTGAACATGTTCAGTCAAACCCCGTGGGGGTCAGTGGGCCGGGCCCAAGGAGGCACCTGGAGACTGCGGGGGAGGAAGGCCCCAGGCCAGGTGTTAACACTTGTAACAGGCAGGAATTACAGCTGGCTGGGGCTGGGGCTGGGGCTGGCGAGAAGCTGAGCTGGCTGGAGGCTGTTGATCCCACAGACAGACAGACAGACAGACAGACAGATGGGCTGATCGGATGGCCAGGCTTGAACCGGGTGGTCTCCCTTCCAGGGCAGGTCTTTCCCTGGGGGGATTTGGTGGGGGAAATTAATCCAGGTCTCTTGGAAGTGAGTTAACAAGCCTTCTGCCCACCCCACCTCCCACCCTGTGGGTGAGGCTTGCTGTCCCAGGGGAGCGAAATTGGTGGCAGGTCTATTGGTATTCTTATTGATGAGACCACATTTTGTTTAAAACAAAAACAAAAACAGGTCAAATGTTATAATAATACCAGGAGCCTGGAGCTGAGGTCTGTTCTTGGAAGAATCTACTTTAGCACAGGGGAAGGCGCAGCAGTCAGGGAAAGTTCTCCCAGAATCTCAGTACATTTTTCAACAGCTCCGGGGCCAAGAGGTGAGCGATGGGTGGAGTCTGGGCTCTGAGCCTCACTCCCACCCCAGGGATCTTGAGGGCCCTGGGTTGAGACAGCTGCCTGGTAAGGAGACCTTTTGGGGGTGGAGGTGAGGGTGAGGTTGAAAGAGTCAGGAGCTGGACTCGGCGCCAAGTTCTTTGGTGGACACACTCCCTCCTGCAGCTTTCCTGTGACAAACCCAACCAACCCCACCAGCCCCCACACTCTGGCATCTGGGTGCATGCTCCATGACTGATAAGGTGGAGAAACGGAGGCAGACAGAGGGGGGGTGCCTAGGTGGAAATCTCCAAAGAGTAGTCAGCCAAGCAAGTGCCTCTAATCCACCTCACTACAGAACTTCATGTCAAAAAGACCTGAATGGGACTTGGACAGACGAAGGATTGAGAGAAGACAGTAGGGACAGTTGAGAAGTGATATGGACATGAGATAGGGGCAGGGTGCTATGACCTTAGGGTTTTCTCTAGACTTCCAATGGGGTCTGGGCAGGAGACAAGGAGCTTGGGGTCAGGGTAGGAGAGGTGACTTTTCTCAGGAGGATGGAGCTAACAGACTCTTCCAGGGCGAGTGGGGAAAAAGGAGTATCTTCCTGGCCTAAGAATGTGGCGAGCCCAGGAGCAGAGGAGGACCTGGTCTTCTAGCCTTTTCCACGCACCTTGCTGTGCACCTCAGGATCTTTCTAAAGGGAGGGAAGACATTCTCTACCTCTGTCCCAGATGGGGAGGCAGGTAATGCCTAACCCCTCCAGCAAAGGTGACGGC